CCTGGAGGGCATAAATCAAACACAGCGTCCGGGGCCTCGCCCCGGCCCTCCCCCCCCCCCCCTTGCGATCTGGAAAACTTCATTGACTGCAAATAAGTTTTGTTGTGACATTTCTTTCCGTTGTTGGCGTAATCTATTAAGAAAGAAAATTCCTCAGCATGAACCTTTGCTTGTGCATGCGGGCAACCCTCTCGAATGGCCAAGGAAAAACTGCCGCGACTTTCTAATTATTTGCTCCTAATTACTCTCTTTTTAATTTATTTCAAAATGGACTTAATCATCCAGCTGGCAGTGTACCGGCCGTGCATGTTGGGCGTGGGCGGCTGTCTAGCCAGCGCCACCTCTATTGCCCTCTCGCGTGAGTGTGTCCCGACCCTATTTTTTCCCCTCCTTACTTCTACTTCCCTCTCACTTTGTGCGAGTAAGACGTTCCCGTGCACACGTGTGTGCGGTGCGCCTTGCCTTGCCTTCGGACGACCTAAACACACTCTGCCGCCTCATGACATTAACATTTTATTTTCGCCTTTCTTTCAGACGAATATGCTCCCTCTCATCTCGAATCCTTTTCTTGCAAACCATCATGCCGTGTTTGTTTAATCATTCCCTTTCTTGTGTTCGCGCGCGATTTTTATTTAAAATTTATTATGGCAGTGTAATGGCGTCTAAGTGACGCCCCCCGCAGCAGTGCCCGGTCAGTCGGGGAAGTAGGTGAGTGGGAGGTGCTGATGAACACACACACACCTAGACCCCTGGGGCCCGCACGGCCTGCCATAGGGGCGCACGTGTACACCGACACTTTCGCCAAATTGAAATAAAAGAAAAACGTAAAATGTGCGCGATAGGCTAGCAAAAAAACCCGTTTCTCTTTCTTAGTTTTAATTTCCCTCCCGGTCACGAATAATATCGTGGCCGGGGCGTCGCCGACGACCATCACGACGGTGATGGTATAATATTTTCGCGCGGGAATTCATAGAAACTCCATCATCCTCCGTACGGCTCGGGGATGACGATGACGCGCGAGGGCCGATCCGGTTCTGTTTTACGTCTTTATCCCTGTCTGTCTGCGCCACGCCATGCCGCACACTGTCCACATACGGCCGATACAGCGAGCCGAGCCACGCCTGCGGAGAAAGGGGGAGGGGACCGCGGCGAAGAAGAGAGAAGCGGCAGAAGTCAGCAATGTTGAGAGCGCCTCGGGGAGCAGTGCGAAGGATAGTGCAGCAAAATTGACTTTTATAGTTTTAAAAAAATTAAATGACCGCACCCGATGAGCCGGTGTCGGAAATGATGTAAACTGGATAGCCGCGTCAAGTGCGCTAAAAATTCATCTTCGAATAAAAATGTTACTGCTGTCCGACGTGGTATCGCAAAAACACAATCGAAAAAATATCGCAGAAAGTCGATAAGGGCGTAATGTTCTGGGACAGACGGGGATGAGGACTCCCGCCGCTGGTGCGCGCGCCCGTGCACCTCACCTGACCTACATTGCGTCCCGCTGGTGTTTGAACTTCCCGCGCTCACCGCGGCACGCGCGTGGCCTTTGTTTACTCTTGCTAAGGGGCGACAGCCACCCCCCCCCCTTTCTCTCTCTCTCTCTCTCTCTCTCTCTCTCTCTCTCTCTCTCTCTCTCTCTCCCTCCCTCCCTCCCACTCACCTCGTTCCTAGTAATGCTGCTTGATAAACTTCATAGACGCAAGTGCTCGCGGGGCGCTGCACCCGGAGCGTCAGCCTCCAGCAGCTGCCCTCCAGCTCCAGCTCTCCGGCCTGAAAGGCTGGTCGCTGCGTCTGTTTCTGTTAGGTCATCACAGCACAGGATGGTGTTCTTCTTGTGTCCGCCGCATCTTGTTAGAGCGCCTGTGGATAGGCAGACCCGCAAGACACTCGTGGCATGCGGGGCTGCCTATCCACGATACGACAGGCGCCCCGCCCTTTGGAAAGCGACTGTTTAGCCCGAACGTAAGTCGAGTGGACAGCAACTCTTCAGCATAGATACGAACAAACAAAAACGTGTTTTATAATAATTCTGTATCTATCTATACGTCGGGCACCAGTTTCGGGCCTGTAGGAGCGCCTGTGCATGGGCAGACCCGCAGCGCGCTTGTGTCGCGCGGGGTCGCATATCCCCCGAATGGCAGGCGCCTGGCCGTTTGAAAGACTTACTCATTTGGCGCCATGGGAAGCATTACTGCAATCGGTTTGTCGTAGTCCGTAGTTCACTCTCTTTACCCGTAAAGTAGGATAAGCTGCCAAAAGTTTGTCCTGCCATAAAAACCGTACGCGGGTAAAACTGCCCAGGCGTATCGTTTTCTTTTTCAATATTTTCATCATTTGGAAGATTCTTGGGCTTCTGGCAGGGACTGCTCAACCGGGTCTTCTTCGAATTCCAGCGCAGTGGTGCTACCTTTTTTTTCGTCGTCGCTATTTAGTGGCCGTGGGGGTCCCATATAGTGTTTAAGCTGAACGGAGTGTCCAGCCGGCCGGCTCGACATCAGGTATGGGTCACACACAAACGGGCGCCCCCGGGCCGACCCGACCCGACCCGGTGCGCCGCCTGGCGGGGCGGGGCGCGGCGATCGTTTGTAACAGCCGGGGCCGTCTCCCCGCGCGGACAAGTCCCATTAGTTGCCCCCCTGAGCCATCATCGGCCCGGTGGTGCGTGCTCCGCGAGGTCCTCGGCGAGGTCGGCCCCGCGCCCGGCCCCGCCCGGCCCCGCCTGGCTCTCTGTCCCGCGGCCGCATCACTCATCGCACGCGCCAGTGTCCGCGGAGGATGCGCGGCGGGCGCGTTCCATTAGGCCGGCCGCCGGCTAGCCGCTCGTCCCGATTGACCAACTGACCACTTTTTGACCGGAGGTGCCGTTCGGCCGGGTCCCGCCGGGTCCCAGGTGCCTCCCCTTGCGGACCCCAGCAGGACCCCCGCCTGGAGGGCATAAATCAAACACAGCGTCCGGGGCAAGTACACGTCGGGCGTGTTTACAAGGCGGGGGTCAAACTGCAGCGGTCGCCGCGGGGGGCGGTCGCAAGTGGTCGCCAGCAGCGTGCGGCTGTGCGAGCAACTCTTTCTCGCCCCTCTTCTTCTTCTTGAGTGTCTAGGACACACTACTTATTTGAAACGCTCGAGGCTCGCGAGCCTCGGCAGTTGTACCTATTTAACCCTCAATATTCAATAAACTTTTAAATGACCTTGCGCAGCGCAAAATTTACAGCTGAAATTTCCCAACCGAGTTGTAGAAGATTGTTCTTTAAAAATTAGAACTCAAATGCACTCTGAATGGGAAAGGACAACTATTGCGTCTGCGTTTTGTGTGTGTCCACTTGCTGGATCAATTTTCATGTTGTTCAACTATAAAAACAAATTTTTCACTACAAAGGATTCAAAATTACACATTGCAATATGAACAACAATTGTTCTTATGGCATTCAGAGTGTGCACAGCAATTTTTTTAAGGAGGGTGTGGGGGTAGCGTTTTGCGTCTTATTCCCATTAACATATATAGCTTTCTTTCATTCATGTAAGGAATGAGTAATTTTCCGAGCCGGTATGTGTCCACAGCTGGTAAGCTACAGGGTGCTCAGTGCCTTCGCGCAGCTAAGCGGCCTAACAGTTTCCCCGAATGGCCATCGCCGCACCGCTCGCACGGCTGCTTGACTCCCGCCTGACCCCTTCCGGCTGCCGAGGGGGGGGGGCACCCTCGCACCGCCACCGCTCCGCACGTAGGACTCGCATGCACACCGAGAGTCATCGCAGAGGCGGTGATTATTTTAAAATTTGTAGCGCGGTCTAACGGGAGGCAAGGCAGAGGGTCAGTGGGCACCAGCAGCACCGGGCTGATGAGTGGGTGTAGATTTGTCCGGCCCCTCTGAGCTGTGAGCTCCTATAGCAGCACTAAGGCCCAGCTGCCGCGGGGTGAGAGCGAGCGAGCGAGAAGAGAGAGAGAGAGAGAGAGAGAGAGAGAGAGAGAGAGAGAGAGAGAGAGAGAGAGCTGGTCACTACAGTACTGGTCAGAGAGCTCCCCACGAGGGTCGTCGCCGATCGTCGCCGATTTATGCGAGAAACAGGATTGCTGCTGAGAATGGAGCTCGCGGACGACACCTGCCGCTGCGCGCTGCCGCGGGCCCCGTGTCCCCTGCGCGCGCCGGACGCGGCCCCCTCCTGTGAGCGGCGCGCCCGCGATGGAGTGCCTCCCGATGGAATCTCTCCTCTCTAGACTCCCAAACGAGCCGAGAGGATCCTATACTACTAAAAGGGTCGGCGACTGTGTGAACCCCCTGGCCGGGCAGTGACTTACCTTACTGCAGGCAGAGTGGTTCGTTTGCACACATTGGACACACCGTCACGCCGCCGTACGAGTGCGCTCGCCCCTCGTGAGGGTCACTATCGTCACTTAGGCCAGCGCGTGACAACGGTTACCATACCTTCACCAAGACCAGGATCCCAGCGCGTGGCGTAATAGTCACACTATCGTCACCTAGACCAGCACCAGCATGATGACGGACGGACTCGTCCGCTCTCAATCCGGATCCAACTCGCTCGAAAGTTGAAAAAAACAAAGTGGACGACGTCGGAAAGTTTGTTTTCTGGGCCGAATTCTCCTAGATTATGATGATGTTAAATAGCCTCTAGGATGAAGGTAGGGTCTCGTATCACCTAGAGTTGCTGAATTTGTCTCTCCAGGACCGGAGCAGGAAGTAGTCTGACTGGCGCGTACTCAATTTACTAAAAGCAGCGGGGAGGTGGCATTCCCTCTGAAAGATAAGGGGAGTCGTTGTTGTGCAGGGCGCGCCGGGGCGTGGCGGAGCGTGGTGGGGCGGGGTGGGGTGGGGTAGGGCTGCTGAACATAGCGGGGCTCCGGGCTCCGTGCGTCTGTATGCCACCTGTCGAGCCCATCCGCTAGACCCGCTGCCCCAGTCACACCTCTCCGTTGTTGTTTTTTCTGTCCGTCTCCTTTTTTTTAGGTTGCATTTTTTAAAAATACTGCTCTGCTACTGATCTACACGCGCGCGTGGAAACTTGATTTGATAAAATAATTTCGTTGTTTGAAATTTATTTTACTGCGGTGTTTTATTTCGGAGAGGAACCAGACTGGAAACAAACATGCTGAATGTCCAAATAGTGTTTCTTTTTCCAGTCTTAATATACAATACACGTCAAGTACGAGTCAGTTACTGAACCTATATCGGCGTCCCTTTTTTTGTTCTTTCTCATTTCTCAAGTTCAAGTTTGACGGTGAGGCGGTCAAGGTGTATGTGTATGTGTCTCTCTGGTCGGAGCGGCACCCTCGGCTGCACCCAGGAGCGTGCCCAGCCGTACGTGAGAGCATGTGCCCCCTCCCCCTCTCTTCGTCTCCATTTCCTCGCGTTTCCCTACCCCCCCCCCCTCCCCTCTCCTCACCCGCGGACCCTTACCACAAATCGATGCAATCCACCGATACGATATATGACCATATTTTGCCTCCAGCGCGCTCGCGGCGGCTCGCGGCTCGCGGCTCGCGGCTCGCGCGCTCACCGGCGGTCGGTATCGCTGCGCGCGCGTGTATGAGTGCTGCCCCGCAAGTCATTGACGCCGTCGTTCCGGAATACACTGCTGTCAGAGCAAAAAGCGAAAAAAAAGGAAATTTCAAATAGGTTTTTACTGCCAAAAATAAAAAAAATCAGTACCAAACAAACGGTGAATTTTATACTTTTCATAAAAAAATATTTCTAAACAAAATAAATTGTAATTGCGACTGCGCGCTTGCACATACGGTAGCAAGGCGTCATGGAATGGGACCCTCGATAGTGAGCAATTATGCTACAACATACTACTGCATCACTGGTGGGGCGTGGCGGGGCGGGGCGCGGTGGGACGTGGCAGAGCGCCATCGGCAGACACAGACTTGGCGCTCTCCAATTAGCGGTCGTTTCAGGTTCATTGCCGCTCCTCGTTGGCAAGCCGCGGTCAACTGAAGAGGGCTTTTCAAGTGCAGTGCCTGCGCGCGCAAATTCAAAAAAAAAAAAAGAGCCACGTTTTATAATTTAAAATTTATTCATTTTTGCGCGTTGCTGTTGCTGCGCCTTATGAGTATCAGAGTCGCGGCCGCGCTCCGCTCACTCATCCTCGGTCCGCCGCTTTTCGTGTCCGTTATGAGTTTGCCGTGATGCACACGCCGGCCGTGAGGTGAGGCCGGCCAGCTGGCTCCTGGAGCCGCGTCCTCTCCAGGAGGGTGACTGGAGGTGACTCTGCGAGGGTGACTGGAGGAGTTATGAGGGTGACTGCTGGAGGACACTCCAGGATTGTGACTCAGGTTGACTCAGAGGATGGTTCTAAAGGAAAATTTGATGCGAGGTGAATGAGAGTCCCCCACCCACCAACACTCGCTTAATTTTTCAAGAACGGCACTTGCCAAGGTCCCCCCTGCAAAGCCGTGCAAAGGCAGACCGCCGCCAAATAGGGCTCACCAGCCGCGGCTGGCTATCAAGCCCGGCCGACGACTGGCGCCGGGTAGCAAAGTCCAGGAGGCTCGTCCGGCAGCGGCGCGCAATTCCAGGCGGCTCCAGAGACAGCTCCAGGAGGCCCCAAACAGGATGCCGTCATGTTTGGTGTATCATCTTACCGGTAGTGCTGCTGCCGCAGTCCCGTTTGCACATGTGCTGTACGGTGCCGTACGTACGCTGCTCGTCGCGTTATGGCGGTAATGCCACTCCACGCTACTCCACGCCGCGCCACACGCCACCGACCCAGTTTGGGCATTTTTGCCTTTCCCCGCAACGGTGTGAAGGGTATGTGAAGTGAACGTGCAACGGGCTGCCCCCCGGCCCGGCGCCATGGCCTTATCAGAGAGAATCAAGCGGCATTTTGGGATGACCACGAAGGCGAAAAAAACAAAAATAAAATAAACAACAGTCGCGTGAGACTGAGGGATTGGGAAGTCTTCAATAAGAAGACCCACCGCGCTCACAACCTTAGTCAACTACCAATTCTGAAATAATGAGTGCGACTTTGGCAGTTTTCAATTTACATAAAACTTTATTGGGCCAAACGAAACCATTGAAATGATAGGGAACCACGCCACAGAGTCGTCCATGTCTATTGGGTGTCGGTTGTCATTCATATGACGTGATCACAAGTCCTCCCATAAGCCGTTACGTCCCGCTCTACTGGCGCCGCCCTACCCTTGCCCTGCTGCGGTGCACGTTCGTACGTTTGCGCCCCTCTCGCCGCACACGTACCCCTGCGCGCACGTACCCATGCCACGTGCACGCACCTGTGCGTGCGACGGCGTCATGTTTTATCATATATATGCGTTGTTGCGTCAAAGGGCGCATCGGCTGCTCGCATCGCGACATGAGCAGGCAGTCAAACAGCATCAGATAGTCCTCTCTCTTGTGCGACTGCGCTGCGGAACTTTTGACCGACCTGAATGCTCTATGAATTACAATACGACAGACCAGAAAAAAGTGCACATTTGTTGGAAATCATCGTAATTTCTGTTTTCTTTTTGTTATTTCAGGCCGATGACTATGGCGGAATTATGACATCCGCCATGAGAGCTTCAGGTTAAAACGTAAGTACTCCATCATCCCGTCGTTAGGAGCATTAGAACACCTGTTTCTATTTCTCGCTGTCGCTGGTGTTCGAACCCTCGTTGGGTGGCGCTAGGTCGATCCCGTTCGGTCCCGGCCGCTGGCCACTGTCACGTCTCTGTCCCTGTCCCTGTCACGACCCGACACGGTCAAACGGTCACCCCGGTGGTCAGCGCCGTGCGCCGCCAGGTCAGGTCCCACCGAGGGAAGCAATTTTCGAAATTAACGACCTGCGGGGAAAATAAACAGTCTCGCACTAACATCGTAAAACAACCGACAACACGACCAAATTATCAACAAACAAAATTACTTGAAATTAAAAGTAAGAAAATTTGCAAGGCTTTTTATTTTACATTAATGAAATACTTTTCACTAAAATTACATCCTTCTAAAGTGCAACCTGGAGTCTCGGCTGCAGTATGGAGGGCTTCAATGAGATACGATGAGAACTCTGACACTGTAAAAACATAAGTTGTACAGTGTTTACAATAGCCACACGTTTTCTAAAACGGTAATTATGAACCCTCCAACACACCCGCGAAATAAAATGTACTTTCTGCTTTAAGAACTAGGTTGAACCCTGTGTCGCGTATCGTTTGCCCGGCTACACCGGAAACGCAAGTGAGAGAATGTCGCACACTTGTAGGTGTGTGAATGTCCATTTCGTGCATTTTGTACTTAGGTGTGAGAATACACATTTGTACACTTGAGAAAGTATTTCAGGTATAAATTTTCCTTTCAAAATCTCACACTTGTGCGTCCGTGTGTCCACATGGCGTTCACACACCTACAAAGTGTGCGATAGTCACACACTTCGGTTTCCGGTGTGCCGTATCTCATCCGCGCGCCGGACAGAGTTACGCAGTTTTCGACCACGGCACGTCGCCGGCGTCACCATGCACGTCGCGCGAGGCGGCGGCGGGGGCCGTTCCTGACCGCAGGAGAGCGCGCGGACGCGACACGCCGGGGGCAAGACATCAGCTTCATGGAGTTGCAGGGGTGCTTCTTAGCCATTAGCAGGAAGCAGAGTGTTGAGGTGCCCCCCTCCCCCCTCCCGTTAACGATCCCGTCGCTGCTGTTGAAGTAAAACGTATTACCGTAGACAAACAGACCGAGACATGTCTGCGGTGTGAGGACAATATTATCAAAGCGTATACTCTGTCACTATAGTTGCAAAAGGAAATGATTGCCCTGAAATCGAATTGTTTATTTTGACTACCGCTCAGCCAATGATGGCCGGAAAAAGTGTGAGCACCATGCACCTATAGGTGTTAAAGCATTAATGTCAATTTCAGATTGTGTCGTGTTGTGGTTGTTACTGACCCTATAGGGAAGAGTCATGTCGCAACTATAATTGTATTGATTGTGTGAACCGTGCCGACATTAAGTACATCGAGTGAGTCGTGGAACCAAGGGAGTCCGCAGGAGGCGGCCGGTGGGGAGAGGACTGAGTGTTGCAGCAGCTGCACCTAATCCTATCCTGTCGTATACTTTCCTATCCCGAGCAGGGAGCCGCCCAATCATTTGCGACTTTCGGAACGAATTGCGAGGCGTGTCTCCCGCAGCGTGCGTTCGTCATTCGCCTGTCCATCATCTACATTTTTTTACCTCTCATTTTTGTCAGTGTACGAAGCCTGTCAACCTAACTATGTACCGCCGCGTTGACCACACTGACCAAAAGGGTTTTCAGTTAAACCCACCCATCATTTAATTGAAGAGAAAGAAGGGGGAGAATAGAGACATCCACAGTTCTGATTTTTGCCGGAAAGCCACAGAGAGAAGGACCTCTGGATAACTTTCTTTTCTTTTTTATTTACCACGGGACCGTTTGTTTTTCGAAACAGGACATCTCCATCTGCGACCATGTTGTGGTCAGTCGCCTTCGCCCGTTAAAATGCTAACATTGTATTCATAAAGGCAGCCGTAAGTTTATGTACTTATGACTGGCAATTCACAACGAGATTAATTAAAGGCCAACACAAGTGCGCAGTGCGCACGGCACTACATCCCTTAGACTGAATCGCTGGTGTAGTAATTCACTATACAGCACAAAGCTAGAATGCTCCTTCCCTTTTCCATTGCTTTCTGAAAGCAATAAAACCCTTGCGCGCTCTAGTGTGGTCCATCCACGCCAACGACCTCCCATTCATTGACTGCCGACCCGCCCCACACCGCCGCCTCTGCAGCCTCCCAGCTCATCTCTCGCTCCTCCATCTTCTCCAAATTGTCGGTTCGTGATGCAGATCCCCTCATCCTATTCACTTGGCCACGCTCCCTCAGCTCCGGCCGGCTGGATCGCGCGGAACACCGCCGTAACTCTCGCACTGCCCCTGCAGAGTTATATGGTAACGGCCGCTCCACCTGCCAATAGCGCTAATATCTTTTGGAGGAGCAATAACGTAGCCCGCGCGCGCGACTTCTGAGGCGGCTCCTTGTGTTGTCCGTCCACCCGGCAAAAAAAGATTAGCCAACTAGCTAAACAATAGCTAAATATGGAATAACTAATTAGTTCGCTGTAGCTTAAAATTTAGCTATGTCACAACAAAAATAGCTAGGTAGAAAAACGTAGCTAAAGTTCTATGAAATAATTTGCCATCCAATTCGCTAATTAGTTTTAGCCAGAAAGCTAATTGCTGAGCGAAGCGAAGCTCTCCGGAACAGTGGACCGAGCTCTCCTGTGGACCTGGCGTGTCGTTGGTCGTGAGTCTGTCTGTCTGTCTGTCTGTCCGTGAGAAGCAACCACTACTCTTTTGCTGTAGCGAGTATCGCTAAAAGTGAATATGTTTTGGGATGTACAAATTCTGAGTGTGTTTTATCACTAAAGGATAGTGC